TATGTGATAATAGACTGTGATAATAAATTATAGATGCTTTTTCTTCTAAGTATTGTGTATGCGAAAGAATCTACTAGTACAACCTAGGGTTAGTTGTATACAAACTAGGTTAGTAATATACCCAAACCAAACCTATACCTAGCACGTGCTACCCTACCTATACCTATACCCAGTCACGTGCTACCCTACCCTACCTATGATCCGTGCAACCCTACCCTACCTATACCTATGGTCCGTGCGACCCTACCCTACCTATACCTACGTCCGTGCGACCTATACCCTACCTATACCCTACCCTAGGTACATGGTACCCATCCGCCAGTCTAGGTCGCACCACCATCGCAGCTGCCCATCGTCTGAGCACTATTAAAGACGCTAACTGCATCATCGTATTTGCGAGAGGGATGATTGTCGAAAGCGGCACACACAAATACTTGCTGGCAAAGCGTGGTGTCTACTATGAGATGAGCCTAGGGCAGAGCCTCAACAAGCAGATACCGACCTAACAGGAAAATGACATGTAAATTAACGTAATCGGCCATTGAGTCGGCCAGGCAATTGAGCCGGCCACCTTTGCCAAGATCACACCTCATTCCACCTCTCATCTAATATCTCAACAACCTGATCTTAGATTACTTCCTCATGAGGGTAGGATAATCCTTGCTATCTAAGCTATGAAATCCAACGCGTCAATAAGCCAACAGCGCGCTGCTGCTATCTATAACGTTCCTTAATCAACCCTCTAAGACTAACGCGCTAAAACCACCTCACAACGCAATTCCCACCACAGCAGATCAAGGCTTACTAAGCCTGAAGAGGAGGTGGTTATACAATACATAAGGAAGCTTAACGCGCGAGGCTTTGCCCCTACGCTAAGCTACGTACGTGAAATGGCCAATCAACTACTAGCTGCCCATGGTGGTAGTAAGGTTGGAGAAAAATGGGCCAGGCACCTTGTAAACTAGAAGCCTGAGATTAAGTCTCAGGTAACCAGACAGCGCGATCACCAGAGAGTCTTGTGCAGTGATCTAGCTATCATCAGCCCCTGGTTCAACCTTGTGCGCAACGTCAAAGCCAAATATGGCATCCAGGACTAAGATACCTACAACTTTAACAAGACTAGCTTCCAGATAGGTGTTGGAGGGTCTGTCAAGGTAGTGACAGCGTCTAAGAGGCGTCTTAAGCCACTTAGAGTCTAGCCTAGCAACCATGAATGGGCAATGTTGATTGCCACAATCAATGCTATAGGGTGGGTTATCCTGCCCTTTATTATCTTCAAAGCAAAGAACTACAACTAAGCCTAGTATCACAACCTAAAGGATTGGCGTATTGGTGTTAGCAAGAATGGCTGGACAACAAATGAACTGGGCCTAGAGTGGCTGAAGCACTTCATCCAGCATACAACAGCCCAGACAGTGGGTAGCCACCGGCTGCTGATTATTGATGGCCATGAGAGCCACAAGTCGCTTGCCTTCCAGGATCTGTGTGAGGAGAACAAAATTATTACTCTCTGTATGCCTCCTCACACCTCCCATATCCTACAGCCACTTGATGTGGGCTGTTTTGCCCTATTAAAACAAGCATATAAGACAGAAATTACCGTGCACGGACACCGGGTGGGCCGGGTCACCAGGTGGGCCACCCCACCAACTTTACCACCTCACCAACAGTGAGGCTACAACACCACGTAGAGTAGATATTATTATATAAGAAGTTGATGAAATATACTATCTGCTACTGCGAGACTTTTGGCGTATTCAGTTTTTTTGTGGGCTTTGTGACGCGGCCACCACGAGTCCTGAAGCCTGGGGGTGCCGAGCTGGGCTCATGAGACTCCTGTGAACTGCCCTTTGCTGCACCACCACCACGCTTTGTTGATTTTGACCGTGGCTTTGCTGAGGCCTTGGGATTAGTCTGTTTAGGCAATTGGGATA